CTGCCATAATTCTGATGTTATAATTGACAAGTGTGGAATTTTTCAGCTACAGCGTTTCGCAATGTTACCATAAATTTCGGACAGCGTTTCGTGTTGAGCAATCAGTTTAGAGTTAGGAAAATAGAGAATTGCAACGTTACAGTAATATAGGTACAACCAAAGTACAACCTATGCGGAACGTTGCAAGATCGTTCCGTACTAGCAGAATTCCAAGCGACTGATGTTTCATACAAACAAATGCAACCAGATTTCAACCGGTCACACTTAACAAGTGTAGCGTATATACCGTGTGTAACATCAAAATTGTCCATTTGTTAGTTCAAGCTCTTAGAAATGATAAATGATATCTATCTGGAATACTCCGAGGTTTTTATAACATTATTGGAATCTCCTTTGAGCAATGTCAATGTATAACTACTCTCCAAGCTTAACAGAAGAATCATGATGAAATCGATCATAATCATAGCTAAGGATCGGAAGCTCATGAAGTATTGAAATAAAATTCATATATATATTATTATTATTATTATTCTGGGATCATTTTCCAACTTATTCAAGACTAGCAGTAGAGCCCGGCGTTCCCCGGGGATGTAACAGTAAGAGATAGATCAAGTATCGACCATCATAAAGACAGAAAAATAAAATTGACAAAGATTATTTTTTTAAAGTTGACGGACACGCATGTCTTAATTAGTTTCTTTCTTTTTTTTTTTTACGAATTGGTCAAACCCAAACTCAAACAAAAACATTGTTTTCAATCGTTATGAGTCTACCGATTGAATAGAATTTTATTATAAACAATTGTCTTGTAAATGGAATTTTTAAAGCATTCTGAACGTAAAAATAAAGAAAAAAGTGTGCAAGACAATAAGAAACACTACCTGCCAAAAAAAAAAAAGTGAAGTTTTGTTGAAATCGGTTGAAAAATGTAGGAAATCCGATCCCATATATAAACGAACACGCACACAAACACAAACAACCTGGGTGTTATAATAAGTATAACTCGATATGAGTTGTCCCCCTTTCATTCTCGACAGCGATGCCTCTTAATCGTGTTTTCAAATTGATTTCGTGCAAAAACAATTGTGTTTTTCCAATTTTTGGCGCTGTCAGAACCACCACAAGGTAATTTTACGTAGTCCTGTGAAGTTTTGTTGAAATCGGTTGAAGAATGTAGAAAATCCGATCCAATATATAAACATACACACACAACCTGGGTTTTATAATAAGTATGATGATCTCCTCCCTCTCTAACCTTCTAACTTTCTGTCCTGTAGTAACAAGATGCCTCACAGGTTTCATGTACGATTTCATTTTAAAGTTTTTTTTCACTGCTCTTTGTAATGTCATAGCTGAGTCTCCTCTCTCAAATGACAAATGTCGTATGGATTGAGTTGGATCTTTTCTAATTGATCTATTTAGCTCTAACGTGAAATAATGATCCTTCTTCCTGTTATGACCTTCTGATCCAATTCTCCTCTCTACTGTTCCCTCTTTTTTAAACTTATTCAACGTTCTGGCTTTCATCTTGAATGGACTTTCAAGATGAAAGCCAGTGTATGAATATTGGTACCATTACTGAAAGCTTGAATGATCTTTTTCCTCTCACCATTGCCCAGATGGGAAATCTGACACAAAACAATCTTAGCTTTTCTCTTTTTAGCTGAATTACTGAAAGGGTTTTTTTTTCAGTGAATATTACAACAAATGGTGTCAAGATGGCTAAACGTCTTATCGAAAAACCTCGAAAAAAGAAACTCAATAGATCTAGTTTTTTTTGTTTTTTTTTTAGATATTAAACGTTTTCTGAGATGGATAATTATGATGTTACACGATTTGCAAAATTTGCTGTTACAGCAAGTATAACATTTTTGTACGCATTCAGTTGAACTGAAAATATATTTTTCTTTCTCTTTCAATTTTTTTCTTTTAAGTTTAATCTTTATCTTGTCGATGGCTGACTTCAAAATATCAGCAAAGAAACCCACCACGCATGCGTGTTAACATTTTAGCGATAAGACTGCCAGTTCTATGAATAGTTTTGAGGGGAAAAGTGATAATAGGAAAGATGCTAAAATATTGTATCCTTATTTTGTTAAGTTGTATTTATGTTGAATTTTTAAATTTTTTTCTGTCTTTTGTTCACGACTCAATGTCTGCCTAGCGTCATCCAAGTTCTTTTTCCACGTTCTAATATACGAAAAGAATTGAAAAAAAATATTTTGTCAAAATATTTCTACAGCTGATTTGCTAAAAACTTGTCTTCGTCAAACAATTTTCAAGTTTTATAAAAAAATAACATTCTTTAATATTCTTCATGAATGTTATTGTTAAATAAAAAAATGGTATTTTTTAATATACATATATTTCCCTTTTGTCTTTTCTTCTGAACACTATTCATGGAGTCAATATATATATATATATATATATATAAAATGTAAATCTATTTAAAATCGGTGGGCGAAAAAATCTGGATAGCACAATTTTCAAATAAATTGGAATCCGAAGAAAAATGGAAAATAAAGAAGCACGTGAAACCCCCGAACAGGGCAAAAAAATCGTCCAGTACATTAATTTCTGGTACAAAGAAAAAAAAACCCCAGGGGGTAATAAGTTAAAACGAAGAGTGTTCAATACGCTAAGTAGAGCAAAATAAAATAAATAAATCCTAATGAGGCAGGTACTTCCTACCTAGGTTTCACCACATGGGATCTCTCCAGGGAAAATAAAATAAAAAAAATAAAATATGATGATCCCATATGATGAGACCTAGGTAGGTAGTACATGGCTCATTAGGATTTATTATATATCAGTTGACCCTGATGGCCCGTATAAGTGAAATATAAGTAGATTTACCTGGCTCTTTAGGTTCATATTTAGGTTTGCTCTACGTAGCGTATTGAGCACTTTACGAGTAATTAAGAAGACAGTAGATTTTGGAGGTTTTTTCTTTGGTCTTAGTTCTTCCTTTTTTATCCCTTATTTTCCCTTGGGCATTGGTTGTTCAATTACAAGCCAAAATGCCCAAGGTTTTTCCAAACGAGTATAACTATATATATATATATATATATATATATATATACACAGGTTTCGTCAACTCTAGACGATGTGTTGACCTTAGTGTCCACTTTTACATTTTTATACTTACACAAGCTCTAGCTTCGATATTGAGCACTTTTACTCATGAATTTAAATTTCCTTAAAACTATATTTTCATTATAACTGTCTGAGATTTGTTTTTAAATTATTGAAGAAAAATTACAAAGATAACTGAACAATATGACGACAAATATAAATATGATATTCTAAATATTTAAACAAATCTTGTTAATATTCAATAACTCCAAACAAAATAAAAATAAGTGTATGTCTAAATTTAATGACATGAGTAAATTAACTACCATTTTTCTGGTGATGTCAAGTACGCATGCTCTTAATATTTAGGCTGTTCTAAGAAATACTAGGTAAAAAAAAAAAAAAAAACTTGGTTTTCCAACTTTTTCCATCCGATTTATGTCTATCTGTACATTAGCTTTTGGAGATAATACGTATGTGAACAGACAGTCTAAGATATTAAAGAAATACCAGAAATTAACCATGACCTAATTAAAATCGAACTCATTATACAAGACTTCATTTCTGTCAATCGTTGCTGTTATAGAAGAACCTATCATAAAGTATCGATTTCATGTTATAAAAAGAAACCTACAAAACATACGAATTCAGCATTTAATCTCCTTTGAAGTTGTCCCATTCTAAAGCCACATACTTTATTCAGCATCGATTCCATTGGTGGAAGCATTCATAGAACACCCTTTTTTCGGAGAGTGAGCAGCTATCACGTTGCATTTTTTTGGATTTTCTTAAGGTTTTCAAATTTTGTTACTTTCCGGTGGGATTTCATTTCTGAAGAGGGGAAAAGTCACAATGGCGGGATCTGGAGAATATGATGGCTGTCATGTCTGAGTCATGTTGTGCTTCTTGGCGTGAAACAGCTGCACAAGCCATGGAACCTGATGGCACGTCTGTGATGTTGTGAGACGGCCACACTACATTTATTTTCCTCCCAAGCACTATTATAAACAACGGAAGTGAGTGAATGTGCATAGGCGACAGAGTTCAACGTCTATCTGCACCAAGCGGCTATACTCTGCATACTGTATCTCCGTTACCATAGCAACAGTCCTGATACTTTTGGATCAGACCTCGTTATGCTTTGTTTTTTGGCGGGTGACCCGTTTTGTTTCAACACATCAGGAAGCTCATAAACTTTAAAAAATAAACTTAAAATATTAGAAAAGATATGTAGAAATAAGTAAATACAAATAAGACATTGGTAGGTATTTTATTCGATATACTGTATGTAGTATATGATGACAATCCCGGCATCTCAGAGCGTAGGACTTCTCACACTGAATTCAACGGACAGTGCCAATGTGTTCTCAATGTGGACTCAACAGTCCAAGTCGTGCTTTCAAGTTGAATATTAGCAGTAGTTTAACTTTGTGAGAAATGGGCTCCGCCGGGTATACTTGCCCAATACCATGCTACTTATGAATGAATACCTCATCTGTAGAGAAAACTGGTCAAATGCTCAAGAACCCTACGATCGTAAGACGAACGATGATCGTGAAAAAAATGACAGATAAAAATAACGTTTCTCTCTTAAAAACATATGGATGTTCAAATGGACACAAAATTACCAGTATCTATAATCATCGAATAATTATCCAAAATGGTTTGAACAAAAGAAAAAACAAGTTCTTCATTTTCAAGTGCAATAAATTTGGTTATTATTGACAGAATAGTCATATTATATGTATGCCTTATATACTGTGGACATGTATTGAAACTCACAAAAAAAAAAAAAAAAAAAATTCAATAAACCAGGAATCAGAGAAGACTTACAGATAGAAATTCATGTATTGAGTGTAGTAAGGAAAACCACTGTTTTTTTTTTTTTTAGAAAACATTGTTTTATTTAACAGTTAAACTCTTACCTGTTGTTTTATAGGTTTCATAATCAGCCTCATTTGCATGATCTCCAGTTGGTTCTGTCACCTGAAATATATACAGTAAATTAATATATATATATATATATATATATATATATATATATATATATATTAACCCGGATATAAGAGAGTTGTCGAGACCGGAGAAGTCTCTTATATCCGGGTTTGGTCTGGTTTATATACATTAACACAGGCTCTAATTTGGGACCAGAGAAAATCTCTCTTATATCGGGTTACACTGTATGTGTATATATATATATATATATATATATATATATTATATTATATATATATATATATATATATATATATATATATATATATATATATAATATATATATATAATATATATATATATACACGCATGCACAGGTAAAATGAGAACAAATATAGTATAATTCCACTGTACGTAACATTTAATTTAAAAGAGGCCTCAATAGAGAATAGAGCTAAATATTATTTATTTTAGAATATTAAAAATCACAACATACTAGCAATTATATTTCAAAACCATAAATGTGTTTCCTCAGGCGATGTTAATCTACTGGCGATTAGTTAGTAGACACATTTATATTGTTGAAACACAATTGCCATTATGTAGCGATTCTTAACATGTTTTAATTAAAAATAAATATTACCGATATTATATATTTGTGAAAGTGTGGAGGAATTAAGAACAGAAACATTAATGATGAGCAGAAAGAGAAGAAATTAATCACGTGGACAGTAGACAGCGATTGACAATGCATTTAAATTTTTGAAGATTAAAGTTGGCTGGGAAGCAATGAGCCTGTAGGTAGTTCCACAAGCGAGAAGTGCAAGTGAAGAAACTATTAGCATAGAACTTACGGCTACGTCTAACCAGCTCAATTGTAAATTGATTGATCTCGACGCCAGTTGCGCTTAAATTCAAATACTCTAGGTACCATAGCGAAGATTTCATCCGAACTATGAAAGTATTTATAGAAAAGGGCATAGAGAGGCAACCTTACGTCTCTGGGAAAGTGGCTGAAGCCAAGCCACCAGATCAGGACCAATAATAGAAGCAATATCCTAAGCATGGGTTAGATAAATCACTAAGACACAAGAGGTTACAGGGTGTGGAAGCGTTAAGAACAAAAACATTAATAATGAGTGGGAAGAAAAAGAGTAATCAGGAGGGCAGTAGATACATTTTTGTAGATTAAAGATGGCTGGAAAGCACTGAACCAGATAGAGATACCGCAAGCGCTTTTGTTTTTAATGTGGATTTTTTTTTATTAAATATGCTTTATTTTCCATAATTTTCCATAAACAATACTGGTGCCAGACCCCTTCGTATAACACTCGCACTAACAGTACTTCCACGATAATATTCGCTCGAAAAGTAATCCGTATAGTGATCCGAATAGAGAAATAGTAAAATGAATAGTATAGAAAATAGCGGCTCGTATAGTAATCGAGGATACAGTAGAAATGGTGAACCGTATAGTAATAGACGATAGACTAGAAATAACGATCGTTTAGACGTCACGCTACTTCGTATTTGATATGTCCTGTAAAGAGATATATTTGATCGAAGTAGCTAAGTGGGTTTGGCTACTCTAACCAAGTAGTACACGGTAGCAGTAATCGACTGGTACTCGTCGTAGTCGCAGGTAATATGTGTAGACAAATAGGTTAGCCAATGGCGTAGTCCAATGGGCGTCGTCATAGACTTAAACTCTGTCGTACCTACACGTTCGTCTGCATTTATGACGGAGACCAGCCAATCATATTCCAGTGAGGGGAAACTCAGGTGTATGCATATTCCATTATATCACTACGCATGCGTTTTTTACATGGTCACGTGCTCTAGTCAATTCAATAAAGGGATCGGTTGTGCTTGCTATGTTCAAACTCAAGTGTCGGCAGCGACACTTTATTCCTATATAACAATATTAAATGAGTATTTAAGCTTTAGCTTAAGACTAGTAATATCTTTCAAAAGGTGTACCGAAGCCCCAAAATTAAGCATAACTTGCTGAGCAATATTAGGAGGAGTATTTCGGGAAAAAGCTTACATCATATATGACTGGAAATACGAATTTATAATCAACAGATCTAAGCAAATCAATACAAAAGAATCAATAAAAAAAATCGATTTAAGAACTCACCATTGGCTTTTTGCACTGATTGTCCACTCGCAGTTTTCTGAAGCTGTTGGTATACTCCAAATAATAAAGTCCCGGGCCTCCGACCTCTGACCCATGGCCACCTGCAGAAAAGCAGAAATACACTGTGGTAAAATTAGAAAAGAAGGGTAATCGCTTGAGGAAAATACCTTTCACATTGCTGGAGAAACATGCTCTCTCTAGTTTGATGCCGTTTGATTTCTCTCTTTCATGGATAAAGCTGTTGATCATCGAAACTTGGATGTTGTTATATTGCTGATGATTATTCTATCTCTCATTGTCTGCTAAGATGTAATACACCCTCTCGTTTGAGGTCAAGAATAAGCTGACTGCATCTTCGCGCAGAGAGGTAAACCCCACTAAATAAACACCTGTTTAATGTACTAAAACTAAATTGTTGAGACACTCAAAAAGCCAAACCCATCTCTCTATTTTTGAGTTTCAAACCAACCCTATGGCTATCTTTTGGAGTCGTGGTCAAACGACGTCTGTCTGCATTTTTTATTCCCGTGCAAACCACGCCTATGTGTGCATTTTTCAATCGTCCGCTAATTATATTCACTATAGATATTGTGAAATTCCACCGCCTAAGATTTTTCCTCAGTGCAATTATAAGTAATGGACTGTCTGTTAGATTTTTGCCACCTTACAGTTCAATGTTAAGCCCAATAGAAGATGCTTTTAGTACCTTGAAAGCAAAGATTTCTGCTGATCCTGAAGGCTCATGCAATACAGAGCAATTAAAGAACAAGTTTACTAGGATTTCAAATGATTTTCTTTAAATCGTTTTTTTTTTCTGCTGAAAGAATTTTACGAATAATGTTTGGCCAAAATTCTAATAATGTGATAGATCTATGTTAGAATAAATCTCCAATAATGTGATAGATCTATGTTAGAATAAATAAGTTTTTTTTTTATTTACCAAATCCTAAATGGGTAAATAATAATTTGCATTATGCAACCAACAGTGTTTTTCAATTCAGTTATGGCTGCGTTACACTGAATTATCTTTTTTATAGGATTGAATATCAGACTCCTTATTTGAATAAGCGTATCTTTTATTTTGAGTAATGAAAACTGTTCAATGAATAATGATCTTTTTATCTTGATAAATGCTTTCTTCTTTGTCAAGAAAAGTATCTTTAATTTCAATAAAGGTATCTGGTTTAATGAATAAATTCATAAGATTATGGGTAACTTAATGTCAAATTGAAAAAAAAACCTTTTACGTAACCATTTAGCTTATTAATGATTTTATCGATAGAGTCTTATATAAACACACACACCCTATATATATATATATATATATATATATATATATATATATATATATATATATATATATATATTCCTTTTTACCCGGCTTTACCCTGAAGATCCGTTTAGGTGAAACCTAGGTAGGTTTGCCTGGCTCCTTAGGATTATTTTAGGTTTTTACTCTACTTAGTGTATTGAGCACTTGACGTAGTTGTTTTTTTTTATTTGTTTTGTTTTGTTTTTTTTTTCCTTTGGACTTGGAGCTTAAATACTTGATGATTCTTTTCGCCTTGTTTTAATGTTCTTTCTTTCTTTCATTCTTCATTTTTCCTCGGGTACCGATTTGTTCTACTGCAAGTTGAGCTATCCGTAGTTTTTCCAAACGAGTACCACCATTTGTATATATAAAAAGTCATCATGACCGAAGGTTTTAACGTGCTAGCCTTGTTCAGAGTATTGATCAAGCTAGATCAATCGCTAACTCCCACAAACTGTATTTAGATTCCTGCAGATGCGCCCTGTGGATTTTGAACGAACAGGAATGTGCCTGAACAGGCGTCTGTAATAGAGATTAGTTAGTCACCCTAGTAGACAGGTACACAGCAGGACAGACTCCATTCTATATCCTTGGGTGTAACCGGTCTAGAAGAAAGACAACTCTGAATTCAACTCCGGATCCAGAGTCCCTAAGATAGTCAGATGTTATGTTAGTTTCGTCCTGGCATCTACTGTGACAACGCCGGTGCCAGGTATTTGCCCCTGTCTTTCCCTTGGAAAATATCGTTGGCATGGGCAACTGCCGATTCCTCATAAAAAAAAGGAGCATAAAAAAGACCTGCTCAGACATATCTCTTCGGAGCAGATCCATGGTCTCTTGAGATCGACGGATGCCATATACAAGTTAGAGAAGCTGGTTAAAGATTAGCTTCGATTCATATTTTTGTTTCATCCTTGGAAGAATTTGACCATAAAGTTCGCAATGTCTTTCGAGTGCGTTCGGAAGCCATTATCAAAGACCAAACAAAGAAAAGCCATCAAATCAATAGTGGTACAGGTAGTCGCAGCACTATCAATTTCCACACAAAAATAACTTTACTAACGGCATATAAAAGCCAAAAGAGTTCAGAAGACTTTGGAAAAATTATCTTCAATTTCTCCCTGGAAATGAGAAAAACTCTCCGAACCGTTAAAATTAAATAAAGAAAAGAAAAAAAATGAGCGAAGAGAAAAAAAAAAAAAAAAAGAAAAAAAAAAAAAAAAAAAAAAAAAAAAAAAAAAAAAAAAGAAAAAAGAAAAGAAAAAAGAAAAAAAAAAAGAAAAAAAAAGAAAAAAAGAAAAGAAAAAGAAAAAAAAAGAAAAAGAAAAGAGAAAAAAAAGAAAAGAAAAGAAAAAGAAAAAAGAAAGAAAGAAAGAAAGAAAAAGAAAAGAAAAGAAAGAAGAAAAAGAAAAGAAGAAAAAGAAAAAAGAGAAAAAGAAAGAAAAGAAAAAAAAAGAGAAAAGAAAAAAAAAGAAAAAGAAAAGAAAAGAGAAAAGAAAAGAAAAAGAAAAGAAAAGAAAAGAGAAAAGAAAAGAAAAGAGAAAAGAAAAAAAAAGAGAAAAAGAAAAAGAAAAGAAAAAAAAAAAGAAAAGAAAAAAGAAAAGAGAAAAGAAAAAAGAAAAGAGAAAAGAAAAGAAAAAAGAAAAGAAAAGAGAAAAGAAAAGAAAAAAAAGAAAAAGAAAAGAGAAAAGAAAAGAGAAAAGAAAAGAAAAAAAGAAAAGAAAAGAAAAGAGAAAAGAAAAGAGAAAAGAAAAGAAAAGAGGAAAGAAAGGAAAAGAGAAAAGAAAAGAAAAGAGAAAAGAAAAGAGAAAAGAAAAGAAAAGAGAAAAGAAAATGAAACGAAAAGAAAAAGAAAAGAAAAAAGAAAAGAAAAAAAGAAAAGAAGAAAAGAGAAAAGAAAAGAGAAAAGAAAAGAGAAAAGAAAAGAAAAGAGAAAAGAAAAGAGAAAAGAAAAGAGAAAAGAAAAAAAAAAGAAAAAAAGAAAAAAAGAAAAGAAAAGAAAAAAGAAAAAGAAAAAAAAAGAAAAAGAGAAAAGAAAAGAAAAAAGAAAAGAGAAAAGAAAAGAAGAAAAGAGAAAAGAAAAGAAAAAAAGAAAAGAGAAAAGAAAAGAGAAAAGAAAAGAAAAAAAGAAAAGAGAAAAAGAAAATAGCAACAAAGATAAAGTAAGAAAGAAAAAAAAAAGAAGAGAGCATGAATTTCTATTGGTCTTGAACGAAACCAGCATAAATTAAAAAAAATCCGCATATACATCCATATATTATTTTATATGTCGAGTTATTTAATCCACTTATCCATGCATACAAATTATTTTTTAATCTACGCCGAGGAAACAATTTGTTAGCCGTATTATCTAGATAAATAATGAAAACTGTAATATGTAAGCAATTATAAGATTATGAAATACAAATGTTCTGTATTTTTCTTTTTATATCTATTGACTGTGAGTTATTAAACGAAACAGAACCAATTCTCCTCACCATTGAATAATTACGAAGTATTATTTAACACAATTTGAATCAGAGGAATTATCTCACAAAAAGAAGGAAAAGACTGTGGTCCGAAAGTATTGCCACACCTACATAATATAATTTTCTATTTCAACGCCCTGTGGGGTATTATCAAGGAGATAGTTTCACATGAGCGATACCAGAATACGCATCAGTTGAAGGACGTCGTTCGTTTGAATTTGCAACAAGCAACAAAGCCCAGCTTCGTAAAATATCTCAGAGGACATGGCGCCGCATCAATTTGTGACCAGAAAATGATGGATGTTCATATAGACTTTCTAGATGTGTGAAAGCGTCAATGAAAGTGAATAAAACGAATCCAGTATATATGCTTTGTATTACTGTATTAATTGTTCTTATTGCTTTTTTTTAAGGGGGGTAACAAGACTTTCGAACCATGCTGTAAAATGACTTAAAAAATAGATCAGAAAATTGGCATTATAGTTATTTGACATTGGTTTACACAAACCCATGACACGCGTCTGTATGTTTGAAATAGCAACAGGTAAAACTTCATTTAGCACGCTGTTTGTTGACACGAAACCAGGTCTCATTAAGTTTTATATTATATATATATATATATATATATATATATATATATATATAGAGAGAGAGAGAGAGAAATATACATAATAACTTGCATTAATTGCACAACTCCAAGTTTCATGCCGAAGCAAGTGTCAAGTGCTGGGAGTATTATTTTTATTTTGGGTTGACAACGTTTTTTTTAAATGTTTTCGGTTTCTCCCGAGATACTTTATTGTTGAGGTGGAATATTATTGTTGTTAAAATATTTAACTAATTTGTAGTTTGATCTCGAATTTAAATTTAGGACCAAATTAACATATAAGATTGAAAATAATGTTGGAAATAAATATAAATTCTAATTTGGAGAGATAAGGATGTTAAAAATGCGAATAAAAAGTACAGTATTGCACTAAACAGTAAAAATAATAAACAAATTTCGAAATCCAGCTGCATATTGTATACATTACTTAGGCTTGCATACTGTAAGTCTATTATTTATTTATGGTTCATTTGAATAAAGAAAACATTCACTATCAAAGTTTACCAACAATGTACAGTATCAAGTGGGTATTTTTCTTTTATTTATTTTATAAGACTTTGTTGCTAGTACGATGTAAACATGCTAATCGTTAAATGAGGGGTGATTTTATAATACTGTTATCAGATTTTAATAGTATCCTTATTGTTACAGTTAAAACAACGAAAACAAATGTTAAACTTATTTGAATTTAACGCCTGAAATCAGCCTATTGGGTTAAACCATTGGTTTGTGAACTTGGTGAATGTGATTCTGGGTTCAATCTCTGGTTAGGGTAGTATAGACTCTGTAGAAACAGAATTACCTGTAAGCAGCGCGAAATAAATGAGGAACACGATAAGATATCCCAATACAAGGACAATGT